TTAAAAGTTTTTTTTTTTTATTAATCTATAAATAAATATTTACTTTTATATAAAAATAATAAAACATTATTCTATAAATTGTTTTATTTTTAAATAGTTTTCATTAATTAATAATATAGTCGAAATGTTTTTTCCATTATTTTAGTTTTTTAGCTTAATTTAAATATAAAATGGTTATTAGAAAAATAATTTAAATTTAAATGATGTTTACTAATAAATAATTATATTAAGTATAAATTTGAAAATTTTTATAATAAAGCATTTAAGATTTTTTTATGTTGTTTTAAAGTTCAAGATGTTCTTGTTCTACTGTATTCTGTCGTGATATGAAATTATTTTATAAATGATTCCATTTTAATTAGTCAATTGATTAATTAATTAATTAATAATCTTGTTAAATTATTAATGAAGGTTTCTTTCTGTTGTAATTTTATACGGGTAACCTAATATGATATTTCTTCTTATATATTTCCTGGAGACGAGGGGTGGTGTATACGTCGTCATGTTTATTTCCTTTTCTTCTTTCCTGCCTGTGTGTACATATGCAGGTGTGTGTTTGTGTCTATGTTGATATGTAAAGAGATTAAGGACTAGTAGATTAAATATATTTATGTCAGCACGTCGTACAGTATGATATTTATATCAAACCTAGAAAGAATTAGATGTTTACGTTTTTGGACTCGAGGGCCCTTGAAACATCGAGAAATACAAAAAATTTCGGGTTTTTTTTTCTGTATGTATGGATGTTAGTGAGTGTGTGAGGGACCACGATTTTGTCCACCATATTTAAAGCTTAATAATTCCTGTGCTTTCCGTTGAAACTTTCCGAAATTTTGCAGGGAGATTTGCGAGTTAGGAGGATTGATGCTATTAAATTTTGGTTGTTAAAGGTCATCGGAGTAGGGAGAAAAAGGGAATCGTGTGTCATATCTCGAGTAAGGTCGGACTTAATGACAATTTTACTCGTTAATAGCATTTACAATTTTTTTTATAAAACCCATCCCTACCTTCAACATTAAGCTTTTTGCCATTTTATAATAATTATTAAT